CCAATTCTCTATGAAATTGTTTTTCATTTTTTGTTTCCATTCATTTATTTATATTAATTTAAAGTGAATTTCGTCCTCACTGCTTTCAATAAGTTTGAATTAGTTCTTTGAAGAAGTTTTTATTTTTTTTCGCTGACTCAGCGGCATGAATTCCCGGATGAGGAGATCTTTTCATTCAAGAAGTGCATGTTGGCACTTAAACTAAGTTAAAACTTTATAAGCCAGTTTCAACACTGAGTGCCATGCATGTTCTTCATGGACTGAAGCTGTCTGTCTTCTTGAGTTTTTATTTTTTGTTTTGCTTTTTCTATTTTGTTGTTGTTGTTGTTGTTGTGTGTGTGTCTATGTAATAAGAGTAGATAGGCTTTCCTATCGCCCGGTTAATACTCCCCCTCCTTGTCTTGAACAGGAGTAGAGGTTCATTCTTTGTTTCTTGTTTAGGAAGGGGTTCCCGGAACTTTACCGTTGCCCTAGCCTTCATAGTAGTACTGTCGTAATTCCTTTTGTGATGTGTGTAGTCTGTGGCAACGTCTCTTCATTCTGAGGGTACCGGGTTGACAGTTATCTGGTTGCTGCTTCCGACTGGTAGTTAGGAGCCCTAGCTCTTGCGTAGCGTCTTGAGCAGCAGCTCTGATCAACAGTTGCATAATATCGGGTGTTTGTAGTGCCATGTCGCTAATGGAAGGGTGCAACACTAAGGCTACATTATATTGCAGGCTGCGCCAGCTCCTTTCTGCCCATGTCGTATATGATGACCGTCTGCTACTACTAATTCAGGCCTTCTCTTTTCATTACCTTGCATTACCCAACATGAAAATAAACGATCAAAAAAGTAAACCTAAACCAGCTCTAAAAAATCACTGAAACCCTTTAGCATTTCATTTTCCAACATCCGTGACATTTGAACCAACTTCTGCAGTGTGGAATCGTTCCTCATTGAGAAGCCTCCTGATATACTGGCTCTCTGCGAGACCAACCTTAACTCGTTTATCTCCTTTTCGATCCCCCGTTACCCTCCTCTCCTTAGAAAAGACTCAATTCCACATGCACAGCCTGGGAGTTTACGTAAGCGACCATTTCCCACTGGCTAGGGAGCCCTCTCTCGTGAATTTCCAGACCACTCATACATGTGTCTTCGTCTATCTCTCAAATCTTCCTCTATCGCTCTCCATCCTCCCAAGACTGTGGTGTACTCGATAGCATTTCAGACAATATAGACAAGGATATCTCTCTTCATCCATTTGCACATATATTTGTGTTCAGGGACTTTAATGCCCATCTTAACAAGTGGCTCAAAAACTCTATAACTGACCTTGCTGGCATAGAACCCCCATAACTTTTCTATTACTCAATCCCTCACACAAATGGTTGACTTTCCCACACGTTTCCCCAACAACCAGGACGGTAAGGCTTCCCTTCTCGATCTCTGTTTCACCTCCATACCCGAGTCTTGTCGCACCTCGCACTTCTGCCTTCTACTGTAGTGTCTATTAACATCTCCTTCTACTCCTCCCCCAGCAAAGACCCTCCTACCAACAGAAAATCTTTCTGTTATCAACGAGCAGACTGGGACTAGTTCCGTGATTTCTTTCGCGATGTCCCCTGGAATATGGTCTTTAATCTCCCCGTTCAAAAATCCTTGGTAAAAGCTGAAATCGAGGCTTTCATCCCCGCAAGGAAATATAAAGTTAAATCGCACTCATTCCCTTGGTTCTCGGCTGCTTGCTCAGGTGATATTGTCCATAGGAATCACTTCTTCTGTCTGTACATATCAGGTCGTAACAGACGTCATTTTGTCTGAGCCCATAATGAGTACAAGAATGTCCTCAATGAAACTAATTGCTGAAAGAATGAAACGACATATTGGATCTCGCAAATTCGGTTCCAGAGATTATAGGCGTCTCTGTAAGAGCGTACTAAACAACAGAAAATCCGTAATACCTCCTTTATTCAATCAATTTGAGGTCCTGAATTCCTCAGCTGATAAGGTTGAATTGTTCGGAAATTCTCAACCTACTTAATGCTCGACTCGTTCGGTGTACCCAGACCTGATTTTCCCCATAGAACTGAGAGTCTGTTGATCGAATTGCACATAACACCATCGATGGTATTGAGCATCGTCTCTAAATTAGGCTGTCATAAGGCTAGCGGTGGGGTCGGGATACCAGCCGTTGTCCTGAAGAAATGTGCTCTTGAACTGGCTCCTGTCATCTCCAAACTATATAACAACTGCCTCAACGAATCTAGCTTTGCAGACTGTTGGAAGTCCTCATCTGTTGTGCCTGTTTTTAAGAACTCTGGAGACCCTTCTGGTCCATCTAACTACCGTCTTATCAGTCTCCTACCACTCTTCGGCAATGTCTTCGAAGCTTTAATCAACGCCGAAGTGATCTGCTCTCTGACAAGCAATATGGTTTCCGCTTTGCTCGATCTTCCGCTGATGTGCTCACGGCCATAACTGAATTTGTTTACCAAACATTTCACAATAACGGAGAAACTCGAGCTGTAGCTCTAGATATCTCTAAGCTTTTGATAAGGTTTGACATGACGGCCTTCATCGTAAGCTTTAGGGATACGGAATTTCAGGACGATTATTTGACTTAATGCAATCATTTCTGTCACACCATGTAATGGTCTTCCCAGTACCCTTCTCACGAACGCAGGTGTTCCCCAAGGATGTATCATGGGTTCTACACTGTTTCTGATCTTCATTAACGAGCTTCCTGATGTCATCAGTTCCCAAGTAGGTATCTATGCAGACGATACCACTATTTACTCCTGCCTCAATAGCAAATCTGGTATCGTTGACTAAAACTAACCTGAACCTTGTTCTCGAAAAGGACCTTCAATCTGATGTTGACTGGGGCAATAAAAGGCTGGTAAACGTTAATGCCTCAAAAACAAAACTGTTCTTTTTTTACCCATCACAAAGAACCCTCCCTGCCTCCCATTAGAATGTCTGATGCTCAACTCCACGAAGACACCTCTTTCCAACAGCTTGATCTCACACTGTCCGCTGACCTGAGATGGAACAAATACACTGAATGAATAGCTTCATCTACCGCAAGGAATGTTGCTTCTGTGTGTCGCGCCAGAAAGTTTTTCTCGCCTGGGTCTATCCTTCAAATCTATAAATGAATCATTCGCTTTTGCATGTAATACTGCTGCCATATATGGTCTGGTACCCCCGCTGTTGGTCTCAAGCTCCTCGACAAAATCCAGAGACGGATATGCAACGTGACTGGTCCTGATTTGGCATCTCGTCTACAGTCACTTTCTCACAGACGTGCCGTTGCTTCCCTCTGTCTTTTCTACAAATACTTGTAACTCCTCCTACGAACTACTTTCGCTGGTTCCCAAACTGCAAGAATTTATGGTTGGCATAAAAAAAACCCAAGTACCAAATTTTCAGACTGTTTTGAAAAGTGAATTGAATGCTGGGATATGCGAGTGAGGTCATAAATGAAGCGAATTGAAGTGGACTTCGGTTCCATTCTTTTCGCAATATAATTACTTTAATATTAAATGTTTGGATACTTTTAATTTACATCATTCCCTTCAATCTTAAGAGGAATTAGAGTTTCTTTCTTATCCAATGATTTAAATTCCTATCTTAAAAGCATCCAAAAGGTGATTTAAATTAAATTAAATTCTCTTTCAAACAATTAGAAATAAATGGCAGTTGACATAAAATTTACCTAAATATGTGGAAAAATGCTTCATAACAATCGATGCTTTGCAGAAATTCAGTTCTGTAATTGCTGCCATTCACCATCGAAGACGATTTTCCAACAGGCATTTCAAAACCTAAGCAGAGTATTGAGAAAAAACACTTTAAGAAACAAAGAATGCAGGATTGCTATGCGATGTCAATCTTCTTATATAACAGTAAATGCTGGAAAATCTGGATAAGGAGAGTACTAGAAGCACTACATTATACAGAAGGATATTGTGAATTTTCTGGACGCACCGAGTAGGCAATGATGAATCTTAAAGAAAATAGCAACAAAAAAAATCACTTATGTCCAAAATCAGAAAAAATAAATGAAATTTCTTGAACACAACGAGGAAAGAGGGCTTGGAAAACTTAACCCTCACATGGCATATTGATGGTAAAAGAGATAGTGGAAAGGAGCGAGCCGCTTGTGTGAATTGATGGCGGAACTGCAGCCTTAGCAAAAAGAGAGAAATAGCTAAGGGTTACAAGTGATAGGAAATTTGGGAAAGCCATAATCGAAGGGACGTGACACATAGCAGAAGACATTACTGGAAATAAAGGTATGCGTGTAACGTAGCGGTTATCACTTATGACGATTCGTAAGTTAATCGTATATATTTTGAGTCAGTGTACAGAAATGAAAATATAATCAAATATACAACACAGAAGAATTAATGGTAGAATGACAATTCTTCATCTAAGACTTGAAATTTGTTCAAAGTTGGCTGCTCTCAGAAATCTTCAGTTAAAATATAAGACATATAATCTTTTTGAGCGTAGTTGCTGTAAAATGTTCAATCTATCTTTATCTCAGACATTAGGGTGCATTTCTGGTTCTATTTTCTTCGTGCGATTGAAATGTTTCAAAGAGAAGATGAATTCCAGATTATCAGGCTACTGACTTTTTGGCCGGTTGTCACACGGCAGAGTAGAACTAGTAATAATCATTATCAGATGTTCAATTGAAGTTATAAAGTTACTGATTATTGTGTTCCCGTCCTTAATATAAATAACTTATAACATGTTATTTCTTTAGCAAAGAGTTTCTCAAACGTTCAGATATTTGAGACGTTACTTTACAACGGAGAATGACTATTCGTTTCCTTTCAGCAACTACATCCATTCCCCAAAACCGATGCATCCATTGCCGATTTGTAATCTATGACCTTTTACAGCAAGACAATCAGCTGGTGGATCGGACAAGAAACTCTGAGTGAAACCAATCGATAGTAATTAGTGAGTCGATCCGGGTTCAGGGATCAGCAGCATGTCATGGCTGGGTTCAACTTCTTTGCACAAGGGCGAACACTGTCAGGTATCCCTCGGCAGGTGTCCGGCGTCTAATTAAAGAGAGGATTGTTGGTGTGGTTGCGTTGCGTTGTTGAGAAAGGCGACGAGCAACTGGAGGAAGAACTAAATAGAAAACAAAAAACATACTGTAAAAGGGAAGGAAAAGTACAGGATGATAGAAAATATGCGAAGAATATGAAAGTGTCTGAAAGTGAAAAGAGTAAAGAAATTACTGAAAAACGAAAGGAAAATATGATAGAAAAAAGAAAGATAAAGATGTGTAAAGGAATTACGTGGTGATATTATTTTGTTTAATGGAAGGGAAATGAAATAAGCCTGAAGAAACCAAGAGAAGAAAAAGGACGAGATGTCATAGCTAGGACGATATGAGAATGAGATTGTAATAGGTTGAAAGAGAATGAAGGAAACAAATAAGAAATAAAAGACAGTATAAAACAAGTAAAAAAAAAAAAAGAGGACAGGAGATATATAAATGTGGGCCAATAACGGTATAAAATTGCACAAAACTAAATAAGAAGTAGAAAAAGAAAAGGTAGAGAAGAAAAAAGAAAAAGAAAAAGAATCTATATTATGGTTGTATAACTGTTACACTTTAACTAAGAATGAGATTGTAGCTTTTTCCTCTCCCCAGCCTTGATGAGATGATGATATTTATGCTTTCTGACCAGAAGACCTATATAATGATATTAAGGAAATAAGGACGCGGAAAACATGGGGAGTAAAGAAAGGAGGAGTGTGTGTGTGAAAAGGAAAGGTAATAGGTACAGTAGTCAGAAGAAATAAAAAATAAATATGGGTAAAGGAAAAGGAAAAAAGAAACACACACACATATATATACACACACACAAACATATATATATACACACACACACACACACATATATATATATATATATACACACACACATATATATACACACACACACACACATATATATATATATATGCACACACACACACACATATATATATATATATACACACACACACACATATATATATACACACACACATATATATATATACACACATATACATATATATATATATATACATATATATATATATATATATATATATATATATAGAAGAAAGAAAGAAGAAAGAAAGAAAGAAAGAAAGAGAGAGAGAGAAAATTTGTGAGTGATGATGTGACAAAAAGCAAAAGACTGAATATTGGGTAGCGATGGAAAAGTGTAAATATTAAGATATGTTAAAGTATTTTACGAGGGATAGAAAAAACGAAAGAAAGAAAGAAAGAAAAAGAACAACAATAACAACAACAACAACAACCATCGAAATAACATTAGGAAACTCAACGAGAAGTTCTTGGATATGTAGGCAAGTTGCTGTCATTTTAGCTACAGTGAACGCCACCATTTCCAAGTGTTATGAAAGAGCAATGAGTAGAAATAAAAAAAAAAAGAATCGACTATACAGACGACTACGATTTGACTAGGCTTACTAATGTTAAGCAATTAAACACACGTAACATCCTCTGGGATTTGCAAGATTCAAATAGAATATCCGGCCCAGACCAAAAATCCACATCTAATTAATGTGATCAAAGTAAAAAAAAAAAACCCTTTCTCAGTGAATTGTGGTTTTTCAGCAGACCACAGATTAACTTTAAAGAAAGGAAAAGCTAGATAAGTATAGAAGCGAAGAAATCATGGAACATGGTGTGTGTGTGCGTGTTGTGTCGAGAATGGGGTAACCGCAATGTTAATCGCTATCGGGGTTTGTGCACAATTCCCTAGCGAAAAAGATGAAGGGATTGGAAATCTGAGGGAGAAAAACTACTGAAACAGTGACACTACAAAAAATATATTTAAATATCGAGAAGAATGATGATATATAGAGGAAAACTTTCCCTCGATTTCCATGTAAAGAATCAGTTACTACTGGTGTGATACTCAGTGAAGGAAAAAAAAATAAAGAAAAATAAAGGGGGGGGAGAGAGAGAGAGAGTAATAGAAATAGAAGAAATGGAAAACTAAAAACCTAGAAAAGCAAAAACAAAACTAGAAATCAGTTATCTGATCAGTTGAACAAGAGATGATATCTTACACCCGGAAGATAAGAAAAAAAAGATACACATTTGACCATTAAAAACTAGTAAGTATTAGACAACTTTTGAACCTTGATATTCTATTACTCTTTAATTGAAACAATTACTCGTGATCACTAATTACTACACGGTTCGTGAGAAATTGACCCGGGCCAAGTCACTGATTAAATGAGGGGGAAGGAAGGAAGGAATAATAAATAATAATAATAATAATAATAAGAAGAAGAAGAAGAAGAATAAGAATAATAATAATAATAATAAGAAGAAGAAGAATAATAAAATAATAATAATAATAATAAGAAGAAGAAGAAGAAGAGAAGAAAAGAAGAAGAAGAAAAAGAAGAAGAAGAAGAAAAGAATAAGAAGAAGAATAAATAGAATAATAATAATAATAATTAATAATAAAAGAAGAAGAAGAAGAAGAAGAAGAAGAATAAGAAGAAGAAGAAGAAGAAGAAGTTTGAGCAAAACATTTTCAACTAAAATCCGAAGGATTGGGGGAAGTTATTGAAAGGCAAAATCCACATAGATTTGAGGCAAAATATGAGAAAAAATAGAGAGTTGACAGAAAATCGCTCAATAAATTTGCTTATCATTTCAGATTATTTCTGAAATTTCTCGATTCAAATATATTACTTTTTTTTCATCCGCATTTTTTCCGTTATTCTATATTATTTAAATTAGTATTGTAATATTTGCTATTTTGGTTGATGCAATAGGCAAACACGTACGATTATAGGTAGAATGTCAACGATCTAATATTCTGGTATAATCCCAAGAATTAATGCAGCATAGAAGCAACCTCGTTTTTTCGATTGCTATATTTCGGCAAGTTAATTTTCAAGCCATCACCAGAAATATTTGACATTCGCTCATCTTTGAATTTTTCTCTAATGTTCTGAAGATGATTTGCATAAACAACGAAATATAAATGAACTCGACTACAGCTTATTAAGAAATGATAATTAAACTATGCAATGCAGTACAAATATAAAAGGCCTGTCGAGAAAGTATTCAAGCAGTTTTCAGAACGAGTTTCTTAGTCTTAACATGAGAAAGAGCTTGTATAAACATTCAATCGATAATTAGATTCCATTTAGAGAGCTTTTGTAGTATGAAAATGTCGTATTCCCATTAATCATGAGAATAGATTCTTTATGTCATATCTGTCCTTTTTGTTACTGTTCAGATTTGAATCGTTTACACTATTTCCCAAGCTGAAATCGCACTTGAAAGACTGTTGATGAGATTAAGGAGCATAAGTTAGGCAGTTAGTGAACGACCTGAAAGACAATCGTACAGATGTTATTATAAAGTAGAGGGGATGCTGGATTAAGGGCATGATGTCCCGAGAGGGAGTACTTTGAAAAGGACTATGATACCATTGTCATAGGATATTTATCGTAAATATTAAATGGCTGGATACTTTCCGGGCATATTTCGTATATAGGTTCACATTTTTCTTAATATTAATTGGCAGAAAATAATATATTTGGTAAATATTGCATGTTATTCAAAAATCAGTTTACTAGCATCAAGAATCTCCGTTTTCAACCAGATGCAACTAGAATTTTTTGATATAAATTGCATATTTATTAAAAGCGAAAAGCGTAAATTGACAGATATTCACATCAAGATTAAATTTCAGATTTTGAATGTTTATTTTCAAGGCAAGCTACTCTGTGTGGTTCTAAACAAAATTAAACGTAGTTTGGTATATAACAAATTATTTCAAATATTCTTTAAAATAAAAAGAAAAATAAAAGACACGGTGCTAATCGTATAATGATGGAAATTCTCTAGGAAGCAATGAGAAGTCGATTGAAGAAATATTGAAAATTGTCCCTGTTATTGAAAACTGTTAAAAGGTTAAATGTTTGCTAATATAAGAGAAAGGAAATATAACTGTATTTAAAATATATATGAAAGCCGAGAACGCATTTATAGAGGAATTTTAGAAAATGCTTCAGTCTTACGTAACATTGGTGTGGGTTTTCGACGTAGAAGTGGATTCAGCGAGCCTTATTCCGTGTCTGTTGCGTGAAAAGCATGGATCCATTTCATATCCCCAGCCAGACTATCATCTCTAACTTTGGCTGGTACCCAGTTTAAGGGTAACTAATTCAAAATCGTGCAGAAGGGAACAGGAAACCACTGCACTATCTTTGTCAATATTGGGAATTCAGAAGTAGTAAAGAAATGGAATCTGCTGAAAGATTTTACTACCTTCTGGAAAGGAACTGAAATCAATAAAATAATTCATTTCCTCACTATTCAATTTCTTGAAACGAATTTGTTTTATTTCTGTTGATTAATAAACTTTAGATGCTGCTAGAAACATTCTTAAATATATTTATGAGAGTTTCTCAGCTATCCTTTCAGTATCCACTACACAATTAGGCATATTGCCATAATTTATTAAATTTCAAAATATCGAGCGCACGGAAATAGAAAAAGAGAAACTTTAAAATACCCAAATAAATTAGCAGATATTTGTGTAAGTACCTACACTGAATTTTCAATACCTAAGGATTAAAATGATTTTTTAAAAATGAAAAAGCATTCTTAAGACTTCATTTTAGCTTTAATTAAAAGCTAAATGATTAAATTTACTATTTCCAGTAAACAAAATAATCTGGTTTATTTCAAATAGACATTGGAATCTCAACTTTTTGGTCGCTTTTACAAAATCAGCCATTTTTGACACATTTTGACATATTTGTAAATAAAAGTTAACTCTCCGTTTTAAAAATCTTCCAAAAATAAAAATATACTTTTCTGAAACATTATTTGAGGAATATTAGCTGATTTAAAATATAATTAGTCTTTGAAAAGAATATTATTTACTTTAAGTTTAAAACAAGAGAAATTGATTTTAAAACAAACGGTAGCCGTGATTATGCGCCTGTCATCGTCACTTATCACTCACTGATCACTTAATAAGTGATGATAAAATCTGTCAGCACCTTTACTATTGTTCTACAGAGATTTTATCTGTCAAAACATAATTTAAGAAAATGTCGGGTGAACGCCATTTTATATAATTTTTAAGTAATCAGTAAACTTAAAAATGGTGGAAAATATTCTCTGTAATCTAATTTTTAGGAATGTTGAATTTAAATTTAATATTAGTCATTGCTCTTATTTTCTGAAAATGTCGTCTATGTCCGACCATACATTCAAATAGGGCCAAGTTACGTAATATTTTATATACATAAAAAATATTTAAAAAAATGTTGTGTGTAAACGATTTTTATTGATCTTTTCAATTTTTGATTCGTAAAGATAATTTTCACTTAATAACAGTATCTCTTAACTGGATTGATATAAATCAGAATTTTAAACGATTTATAATATAAATTATTATAATTAAAATTTAAAAAAATGAAAACGATTTTTGTAAAAGGCATTATTCATCAAATTTTTTTTAAGGCAATAGTGTCCTAAATAAACCTTATTTATAAAAAATAATTAAAAGCTCTTCTAATTAAATAATGTCACAGTTTTCTTGATTTTTTTATTTTAAGATTCGAAGCATATTTGAGAAATGAGTAGTAGTTTGAAAACGAAATGATGATTTAAATTCACAAGGAGTCCTACTTTTAACTAATAATACAAATTTTGAGATTGCAATTTAATTTTTTGAAATTTCATAAATTAAGTGAGGTAAGGGTAACATATGTAAAAAATACAAAGATTTTCTAAAAGAAAGTTTAAAAAATAACGTCATTCACTACTGAATAAGCCGTGATGGTTCCATTAAAATCCACCAATTATTTGATTTTTGCAAGAATTTCAAAATCGACGTTTTTCACCCGAAAAAGGGCGCAAAAACAATAATCTTAAATAATACGTCAACCACTGACGTAAAATATTACGTCAACCACTGACGTAAAATATTACGTCAACCACTGACGTAAAAAAATACAAGATTTTTTAATCAAAATTTTAAACGTGATTGAAATGATTACAAAATTGAATACTTGAAAAAAAAAAAAAAAGACTGTCTTTCCTCTTAATTATAACAGAAACATTTTAACGATAGAACTTTTTTTATTAAGTATGGGGTCTTTTTTCATCATGCTATGCTGTTCTAGTCGAGGTTTATAAGCCGACTTCTGTATAGTGCGACCCCTGAATTTTTTTGTATGAATTTTAACCTGTGAAAACATCTATCTGTCTATAGAGTAACCAGTCAGTGAAAATGCATGATTTTTAACTTCTTCAAGCAATTACATGCGTATAGTGCGACCCTCTATTTATTTTCGTAGATAACTGATCATAAAACCTTGCACTATCGAGAATGTACGGAATTCCAGAACAATGAGAGTTTGTGATTGAAATAAAATGGCATCTTTGTTAGTTCTCATTAAAAATTAACGCCCATAATCGTAATTAAGTCAAAATTAAGATTAACTGCTATTTGATTTTTCTTCCCGAAAACGACGAAAGATTTCGGCGAAACGAAAACCATAAACCTAATTTCATTAATCCTAAAAAGGACTAACGAAATTAACTTAATATATCGCTTCCAAGTGTTTGTGAACATTTTTCTCAAGTGGGGACTAACATTAATCTGTATTGGGCGGTTGGAAATGACTCCAGTTCAACCCCGCCATCTTCATTTCTCTTGATCTGGTATACAAGTCTAAACTTGGCATAATGATACAAAACCTTTGACAGTATTAGGCTCTTCGCTGACACAATTTATATGAAAAACAAGTTAAAAGATATACAAGACTTATTTTCCAGGAGAAAAGCTGAAAATTTAGATTTTTCATGATTAATTTGGTCTTAATAAAACACGACCCATTGAGGTTAGAGGGGGGGGAAATAAATACGTACATAAATTCTTGTCATTGTACGCTACCATATATAAAAAAATTATGGTGGAATTAAAGAAAATGTTGTAGAGGGAGATATTTTCCAAAATCTGGTGAAAAAAAAAAAAAAAAAAAAATCGGATACAATTCTTCTTCTCTTATGCTAATTTCTAAAACATTTGTTTTTATAGTTCTTAAATAGACACACCAGTTACATTCGCAATGATTGCATAGTTCCTCCAGAAATGTTTCTCTCAGATCTTAAAGGGAAATTTCTCAAGGTAGTTCGCCAGTACACACTGTAGAATTTATCGTCGTCAGAAGTTTAACACTTGTTTTACTTCGGTGTACAACCTGATAATCCTACTTTTTGATACTTATACACAGCATCTACATCATAAAGTAATTTATCACCTTTTGATATAAATAAATAATTACTTACACTTACGTTCTTCAGAATTGATATCTAATACTTTATTCAATCATTATTCTTAAAATGTTTTTTTCTGTTTGTCAGTGCACCCATGTGTATGTTTTGCTTTAGCCGATTATGCCCAAACGATGCAAGAAATATATTCGAAAAATGTCTTAAATAATAAACCTTTTACGCAACATATAATAAATGTTTTTTTTTTTACCTTGATTTGTCTAGGTCGAAGCGACAGTCGCCTTTTATCTCTGAACAGACACAAATCTGCTCTACACTTTTCTATATTTTCTTGTTTACATAATTAATAATTTAAAGAATGAACAATTAAACATTAAGCAAAATATTTGACAGGCAACGGTTTTATAAACTGGTGCATCAGAGAATAAAAGAGAAAAAAGGAAAGAAAATATAGACAAAGTTATAAAAGAAAAAAGACGAAGAAGTAAGATCTTGGTGATGCTGTGTGTAAAACAGTTTTTTTTAGCGAGAAAACACGAAGAAAAGTCAGAAGTAGAAAGTTGTACATAACTGAAGTAGAAGAAAATAAAATACGTGAGGAGAAGAAGGAATTGGAAGAGATGTGAATGACTGAAGAAAAGAGAAGAAATTAAAATGAATTCAAAGAGAAAAAGTAGAGGAAGGGAAAAGGAATCACAGTAATAAAAAAAAAATAGGAAAAAGAAAAGTAAAATTAAATATAGAAAAGAAATAAGCTGAGAAAAATAAGAATTAAGAAAGAATAAACAAAAGAAAAGGACGAAGATGAAAGGAAAAAACGAAGAAAAGAGAAAGAAACAGAAAAGGATTCGGAAAAAAAAAGGAAAACCACGAAAAAAAGAGAGGACGAAAAAAGAAAAAACATAGAAATGTAGATGTGAAAAGAAAAGCGGAGAGAAAAAGAAAATACTAAGAAAAAAGAGGAAAAGTAAAGACAGACAACTAAGAGGTGTGGAAGAGAGAGGGAAAAGAAAGAAAATAAGTAAAAAAAAAACACAAAGAAACGATAAAGAAAATGAAAAAGGAGAGTGGAAAAGAAAGAAAAGGTAAAAAAAAAAAGAAAAGTATGGTAGTAATAAAGAAGAAGAAGAAGAAGAAGAAGAAGTGAATGAAGGGCAAGCGAAGGAAAAGGAGTAGAAGAAAAAAGAAAAAAAAAACATGTATATTCGAGAAGAAAAGATACTGAAATTGACAGTATCAAAGCAAGAGAGGAGGAGGAAATTATATTCCATACGCACGCTACTGACGTCATCAACTGCCTACGCACGCACATGATTAAATATTAATGATTTACAGAGAAGACTGCTGCACCACCTGGCGATCATCTCGATTTTATAGACTACCGGAGTGACCGTAGGGTGAAAAGATTGGTCGTCAGTATCTCAGTGCGCGACCTCCTACTCTTATGACGTCACGAATTTTTAAACCATCGTCACCCAGCTTTTCCCGCCATCACCGCCACCTTTGCAGCAGCAGCGATAGAGTTGTCTTTGACGGTGCACGATCAATTCAAGAAGAGTTCAATAACTACTATTGACGATACACATGCCTTTGATCTGAAACCTGAATTTTACTGTGTAGGTAAATTGTTCGAGAATTCGTGTCGGTAGAAGTTTTACTGGGGGGATGGGTTGGCTGGGAAGATGGTCAGCACAGGAAGAAAGACGGAAATGCGAATATGAAAGGTGGGCATAAGAGATTGGAAGTACGAAAGAAGATGACAACAAAAGAGGAGAAATTGTTGCAGAACTCTGCGACAGATCTGTAGAGAAATGGAGTAGGAAGGCCCGAAGCGATTTGGAAACGGAATTGGAATGCAGAAAATGAGAGAGATATAGAGATAAAGAGAGAGAATAGCATTGTTGAAAGAAAGAAACGGGAAGGGATAGTAAAAATATAGAGAGCAAAGTTTAAACTGTTTTGAATTTGGAACATAATAACTAATATATATATATATATATGTGTGTGTGTGTGTGTGTACGTAAAAGGAGAGATAGAATATAAAATAAAAATGCAAGTTTAGATTTTCTAGTGTAGATGAAGGACACTGAAAACTAATATTTAAATTTATAATATTACAGACAGGAAGAAGATTGTAAAAAATGTGAAAAGAGCAAATGATAAGAGTAATGGTTATGAGAAAGAGCGATGAGGAGGAGGCAGAGGGAGAGAGAAAACGAAAGAAAAGTAATGCGTGAAGAATAAGTTGCAATGTAGATAAGTGGAAGGAGAAAAAGAAAGAAAGGTAGAATATAGGAAGTGGGAGGAAAGAAAGAGAAAGGATTGAAAATGGGAGAAAGAAAGAGAAATAGGGAGAAAAGAGTGGGAGAAGAGAAATAATGGGAAAAGAGAGAGGTGAGAATAAGAAATAAGGTGAAATAGAGAGGGAAGAAAGAAGAATATGGTGAAAAGAGAGAGGAAACAAATATAAATGATTAGAAATGGGGAAGGAAAAGAGGGAAGAAAAATAATGAAAAAGAAGAAGAAAAGAAAGAGATATAATGAACAAAAAATGAAAAGAAGAAAGTAATATATTGAGAAACGAAAGGGGAGAAATAATAAAAAAAAAGATGCAAGAGGAAGAGAAGTAATGAGAAAAAAAGACGATCTATGGAAATGTCGAGAAAGGAAAAAAAATAAAGTAAAAAAT